ATGCCGCGATGCCAGGCAAAGTTTTCACTGGGATGAAAGTCGGGGGTGGAGAGAGTCAGTTCGTGAAGACTTTGAGGAAAAGCTTAATGGCACATCCTAGGGCCCCACGCTGCCTGGGGCTGGGGAGAAAAGGAGACTTCAGTGGTAATCTCGCCTGTGTCCTCCACAGGGGACGCCCTTCTCCTGGCCACGGACGGAGCCTTTCCCTAAATGTACATTTCTTTGCTCTGTCGTTCTCCCACACCCCCTGCCCCTTATGTTGATCCCAAGAGAAGGCCACTTTTATTCATTGTTCTTCTCTTTTCCGGGTTGAGCTAACTTTAACAATTGCCTAGACCTGACGATGCTCAGAAGGTGAGTAAATTACCACGCTGCCCAGCCCTTTGTTCGAATAGTGGAGGAGGGCGGCGATCCTTGTGAAAATGCGCACTGATGGTCCTGCACAGTGGCCGTGTCGACATCGGACACCTGCGTTTTAGAAAATCCGGAGCAAACGTCTGGTGAGCAAGTGAAGACTGACTCACCACCGACTTCTAGCGTGATGATATTTCACATCTGTGTCGTGCGTGTCACACCGTTAGCTCATTTCTGGTCTAACCATAAAACGGTGTGACGTAGCTTCAGCGCGTTAAAGCTAGTTCTTTCTTTATGTATTTAGAACAGATCTGAGTTACTAGTTTGTGAGGGTGATCTTACGAGGCTCCTGTCCCACTTTTGCTCTGACCATTTTAAGGTTTTGGCTCATTTTTAAATCAGGTTGCTTTCTTGTTGCTGAGTTTTAAGAGTTCCTTTTGTATTTTGGATAACAGTCCTTTATCAGATGTGACTTCTGCAAGTATTATTTCCCCCCAATTTGTGGTTTGTCTTCTAATTATCTTGCTATGTCCTTCCCTGAGCATACGGTTTTGATTTTAATGAAACCTGGCTCATCTTCTTTCTTTCAGGCGTTGTAGCTGAAGGCGTCCCCAGACCCAAGGCCAGCTAGGTTTTCCCCTGTGTCACCTTCTGGATTTTACATGTTGGTCTACGAGCCATCCTGAGTTAGTTTTGTGTAGGGTCTGTGTCTAGATTCCTTTTTTTTTTTTTGCACATGGATGTTCAGCTGTTCCAGCACCATTTGTTGAAAAGACTGTCTCTTCACCATTGAATTGCCATCACTCCTTTCTCAAAGATCAGTTGATTGCACTTACGTGGGTCTACTTCTAAGCTCTCTATTCTGTTCTTTTGATGTATTTGTCACTCTTTCGCTGATACCACACTGTCTTGATTACTGTAACTTCATAGTAAGTCTTGAAGTCAGGCGGTGCCAGTCCTCCAGTTTTGTTCCTCTCCAATATTGTCTTGGCTATGCTGGGTCTCTGGACTTTCCCTGTAAACCTTCTAATCAGTTTGTTGATATCCATACAAACGCTTGCTGAGATTTTGATTGGCATCACATTGAATCTATAGATCAAGTTGGTCAGGACTGACATCTTGACAATATTGAGTCTTTCTATCCAAGAATATCTCTCCACTTATATGGTTCTTCTCTGAGTTTGTTCATTAGAATTTTAGAATATTCCTCACACGGATCTTGTATCTATTTTGTTAGATTTTTACATAAGTATTTCAGGTTTTTGGATGCTAACAGAAATAGGATTGTGTTTTTACTTTTAAATTCGACTTGTTCATTGTTGGTGTATAGGAAAGCAATTGACTTTTGTGTATTAACCTTACAGTCTTGCTATAATGTCTTTTCTTTTTTTTTTGGAAGTCATTTTTTTATTCTTCTGGATTTTCTACACCTGTGTCACCTGTGAAGAGATCGTTTCATGTTTTATGTCTTCCGCTCAATCTGCAATGCCTTTTCTTTCCTCATTGCACTAGCAGGGACTTCCAGCATGATGCTGAAAGGGAGTGGAGAGAGGAGACGTCTTTGTTTTGTACCACTGCCTTTCTACTGCATTATAGTGGCTTTTAATCTTCTAAATTAGGTAAGCAAGTATTTTACTTTAAAATGTTTACAGCAGATATGTCTGTCAAGCCTCCTTTCCCTCCTTACCTATTTCACACAGCCCTGAATTTCTGTTTGGTGCCCCATGTGGTTCTAGGGAATCTGACTGCATCTCTAGTTTGGCTGTGAACAAATGACCTAGCAGCGTCCTCCAGCCACAGGGGTTGGTAGAAGAAAGCCTGCATCCTAGGCTGGTCCAGGGTGGCACAGGTGCTTCTCTCCTTCTGTCCGATGTGTTATAAAGATGGGAAGCCTGGAGCCGCTGCAGCCATTTTGTTGTTATGAAGTCAATCTGGGGATGAAGCTAAACAGAGAAACAGACCAAAAAACAAAAAACAAAAAAACCCAAAAACCTATTTGCAGGAACTGAAGCCAGAGCCATGATTAAACCATAACCAAACATTCTCAGCTATGTTAGCCGTAAATTCCTGTCCTTGTTTAAGCTACTCTGAGTTTCTTTAACTTGTAACAGAAAGCATAATCAACCAAGATATTTTTTCTGATTAATATGTTTTTCTTACAAGTAACTTAGAAAAATCTGAGAAATATAAGGAAGAAAATAAAAGTCAGATAAAATTCTACTGCCCAAAATATCTGCTTTTAACACTTTGAAGCCTCCTTTTTGGTTTTTATTGAAGAGGAGGTCGAAATTAGGATTTTATTATACAAAACTTTACATCCTGACTTTTTCCTAAACATTGTATTGTATGAAAGTCTACAAGTCCCTGTGAAATCCCTGAAAAAAGGCTTGAAGTGGCAGCATGTTTAAATCCCTTATACTTATTTTCAAAGCTACTGTGATTGAACGTAACATTGTTTAGGCTTATGTTTTGTGTATTTCCTTTGTAATTTCTGACCATTTCATTTTTTATCCCTTGTGTTACACAAAATAGTTTTTAGATTTAGTTTTGATTAGGCAAACATTTCCTGAGCACTTACTACATGCCAGTGATGGGTTCTGAGGAAGATGAGTTAGAATCAACGCCAGTCTCTGCA